GAGAGAGCAATGGTGACCAAGTTAATAGGGCTCGATCTGTGTGTTCGGGATCATTGGCAGTGCTGCTCTGTGTATTGCACATGATGAGAGAGAGGAACGGTGGGCGATTTAGCAGGGCCTCAATGTGTGGCCCTGAGGGGCTGACTAGATGCTATAAGAAAAAGTTGTGAGGAGGCAGGCTCAGGAGCATGATGCTTGCCGCGTGATGTCTGTGGTTCTTCAGCATTGGTCCGGTATGGTCGATACAGGCGACCACTAAGCAGATGTGTGTGAGAAGTGGAGAGCGGGAAGAGTATGCCGGGGCTGGCGTCTGTGCAGGGGTTGCTGCAACTGTAGAGAGATTTACCAAAAACAGCCTCTGGTCCTCTAACGCCAAGCCCATGTTGAGATGGGAATACGGCCGGAGGGATTCTTACATTGAGACAGGCAGTGTGTTGCGCATGTGTTGTTGAACTATTTTTATCGAATGAAAATGAAATTTGATCGCAAGGCCATCAATGTATGTATGATAGGGAATTGCTTTTTTCTCTCTTTCTTTCTGTCTTTCTCTCATTCTTTCTTTCTTTCATTCTTTCTTTCTTTCACTCTTTCTTTCTTTCATTCTTTCTTAAAACAGGTCCTTATGATCCTTGCTCCATATCCATTTTGGGGAGCATCCATCCAGTTACTTTTCCCCAGGCAAGTCATGATTGGGAGTTTTGGGACTCGGGAATATGCAATTTGGTACAAAGGTGCAATTTTCTCTTTTTCTTGTTTTCTACTGCATGGGCTTCTTAGCTGGAGGTGATCTCTTACAACTGCTGATGCTGATGATCTATGAAAGCAGAAGAGGTGACGGTCACATTCCTTCCTTGATTTATGCAAGTCATTCTTGTGCAGAGGGCATGCAGATCTTGTTTGTCTGTATTGTTCCAATTCTAATGGATGTCCCGAAGCCCGGTCACATTCATTGCCAGCAACAACAACAATCAGGTAACACACTCTCTTTCTCAAAGTCTGCGGCTATGGCTGCCAGCAACAACAACAATCAGGTCTCTCTCTCTCTCTCTCTCTCTCTCTCTCTCTCTCTCTCTCTCTCTCTCTCTCTCTCTCTCTCTCTCTCTCTCTCTCT